CTGTCTACCACCTCTCAATTCCACTGCATAACAATCCCTTGGATTTCTATCAGTTTTTCCAGGGAGCATCCCCTGCTGTCTCTTGACACTCTCTGCAGTCTGAGCGAGAGCAATGTCAATCTGGCGCATGTGGCTGCTCACTGTGTCATATTTCGTGTTGAGCTCAGTGAACATGTTGTCCATCCTTGTGTTGATATCAAAAGTAGCCTGGTTTAACGCCTTGGCCTGTATCTGTTGACTCTGGAGCAGCTGCTGCATCATGTTCCCTAAGGCTTTGATCTCACTCTGTCCACCCCCTGAATTAGCTGGAGCATCTTGCGGGTTGCTCTGCTGATTATGATGGTTCTGATTTTGGTTCTGGCTTTGAAATCGGTTCTGAGCTTGGTTGAAAACAAAAGTCTTGCCTTGGAAACTCGAAGGAAAACCTCTCTGCTGCGGAGCACCTTGCTGCTGATTTCGCTGCATTTGATCCAAAGAATTCTCTGCGTTGCTCCTCTGGTAAGAGAGCGGTTAGGGTTGCTCTGGTAGTTGGGATTCTGATAATAGTTCCGGTTCTGCACATACCCTTGACCATTGATGTAAAGAACTTCCTGATGATCATGTCCCTTTGTTCCTCCCTCAGAACCAAGATCATTAGCTATTTGCTCTGGTGTAGCCTCATCCATGTACATCACTTGCCCCTCACTGCCCTTTAGAAGCAGATCAACCTTGGCAGTGAGCTCATCTTTCCACTGACCATCAACACTGTTCACCTTCTTGGAGCGATCTGTTTCTGGATTTTTATTCGCAGAACTAGCAGCCATGTTCTCTATCAGCTCGTAAGCACCCTCGGTGGTCTGTGTCATGAAGTCTCCCTTGCTCGCAGCATTGAGAGCATTGCGGAACTCCCACTCAACACCATCATAGAATATACCCACAACATGATCCTTCTCAAAGCCGTGGTGTGGGCACTCCCTTAGAGAGTCATTGAAGCGCTCCCACGCATCGTTGAATGGCTCATTTGCGTGCTGCTTGAATGAAGAGATCTTGTTCCTGAGGGTTGCTGTTTTAGACTTGGTGTAGAAGTGTCCCAAGAAGGCTGATCTTACCTGCTCCCATGTAGTGACAGAGCCTGTTGGGAGCGACTTGAGCCATCGTGACGCCTTGTCCGCTAGTGAGAACGGAAAGAGCATACACTTGATGTAATCAGGAGGTACACCATTAGCACGTGTGAAGCTACAGATTTCTTCAAAAGCTTCAATGTGATCCATCGGTATCTCAGCTGGTAGCCCATGGAACATCTTCCTCTGCACCAGATTGATCATA